ACACACACACACACACACACACACACACACACACACACACACACACACACACGCGCGCCACTTGTTCAGGAAGTGATGTTATGACAGCAGCGACTTTGGTGGCTAAAACAGGACATTTGAGTAAGGTGGTTTGTTTAAGTGTGTGTGTGTGTGCGTGCGTGTGCGTGTGTGCGTGCGCATGTCTGTGTGACCGTCACAAAAGGTCATGCCTGACTTGAGTGTGTGTACGTGCGAGTGCGCCCATGTGTCCTTTTTGTTGCATAACTTCAAAACACAAAAAAAAAAAAAATAACCTCCCTGTCCAGGTCATCAAACTGTAATCTTCAAACCTCTCGACAAGCTAACTTGGAAGATCATTAAAAATATTAAATATAAGTGAATGAGTGCATCAGTCAAACCGTCGCTGTCTTGTGAAAAGCGCGTATGCCCATTTTTTCCATTAAAAAAATAAAAAAAAACATTAATGGGATGTCCGAAACGCGATCACCCCATCAACGAAAACATTTAAAAGGTGACAAAAATGGACATGCGTGTTGTTCATAGGACAGTGACAAAATGCTTACAAAATTCAACGGCCTGTTCATCATTTACCCAACTTGTACTTTGGCACTTTTGTGACTTCTCTTCTGACACTCTGGTCATTGACTTTGCATAAAATAAAATACAACCAAACTAAATAATACCCATTGACTGAGTGGCTGAGTGTGAGTGAGTGAGTGAGTGAGTGAGTGAGTGAGTGAGTGAGTGAGTGAGAGAGAGAGAGAGAGAGAGAGAGAGAGAGAGATTTGAATCTGACAAAAAATAATAATAATGATACAATTGGTGCACTCTGCACGAACTTTGCGTGCGTGCGCAGGACGTGATGGCCTTCAACAGTCAGGCGTCGAGTCCTCTGCCCTTCCCCATCATCGCTGACGAGAAGAGGCAGCTGGCCACCAAGCTGGGAATGCTGGACCCCGACGAGATCGACGTCGACGGCATCCCTGTCACCGCTCGCTGTGTAAGAACTCGGTCGTGTGTTGCGACAAGACGGGAATATGCAAGCTCTTCCCATTAGGGGGCGTTGTGACGTCGATACACAATAGCCACCTGGGGACAAAAATGACTCCTTTGTCCAGGTGTTTGTGATCGGACCCGACAATAGACTGAAGCTGTCCATCCTCTACCCGGCCACCACGGGGAGGAACTTTGACGAGCTGCTACGTGTGATCGACTCGCTGCAGCTGACGGCGCAGAAGAAGGTTGCCACGCCCGTCAACTGGAAGGTACGGCCGACCCCCGTTCCGATGTTCCTCTTTGCGCGCTATCACAGAGACGTGACGGACTTTCTCTGGTCTTGCAGCCCGGAGACAAAGTCATGGTGCTTCCCAACGTCTCCGACGCCGACGCGGCTACGCTTTTTCCCAACGGCGTGACCAATAAAGAGGTGCCTTCCGGGAAAAAATATCTGCGCTACACTCAGCTCTGAAGATTTTCAGCCCTTCTCGACTCACAATACAAGTAAAAAAATAGTAAAAATAGTGCACAGTAACAATAAACACAAGATTTAGTGCATTCATCCCATAATAAACAACATTTGCACTCAATTCAAAACGAGCGTTTTTTTTTCCTCCCACGTTCTTCTCTGCTATTCTCGTTGCGCCACGAGGTGTCGCTGTGTTACCTGATATTGAGAATACTACAGTCCTGCATTCCGACAGTTCACCGATAGATGTCGCCAAATGCACGCTGTACTGTTGTCTCTGATTTTTCCGTGGGTGTCCTCGACTCCCAAAAGTAGTCAACGGTTTGTTCGTCATGTTTAAATTGGAAAGACCCAATCATTCATATACATTTTGAATGTTTAACTATTTAACATGATAAAATGAGCTGTCAAACTGAATAGATTGAAGACTAATGCCGCGCCCCCTCCAGCTCTCTTCTGTTTTACAAGTGAGGAAAAGCGATTTGGGGAAAAACATGTGAAGCTTCAAAGCACATAACTCGCGTCAAAATTTTCCGTCATGTTGGTAAAAGCCTGATTTTGCAACACATAAATCAGGAATGAAAATAACTATTACAATTTTTTTGGACAAAAACCTCTAGATGTATCAGAAAGATTCTACTTGTTTGAACTAACTCCACTCATAATGGAAGCAAAAAAAAAAAAATCCCTACCTTGTATTATTCATTTTCTTAAAAAGTATGACTTTTATGTTAAGTACTGTATATAACGTTTTTTGAACTTCAAAATTATACTATTTGTTATTATATATACTATACAGTACTAATAATGACACCAAAGCCCTACCTCATAGAAAAGTAGTGCTTTGGCATCATCTTCTGCCATTAGGCACAAATATAAACCTATTTTGGGAGTTGCAGGAATCATTTGTGGATTTTATTTGCGCCAAGACATTGATGTGTATTCCTTTTTTGTCCTTGAAACTATACAATTTTCCTCTAGATTTTTTTTTTTTTTTTTTTTTTTAAACATGCAATATGGGCTTGGTCAGATTACAACCTGCCCCAAGTTGTAATGTTGCTGGCGGGAGTGCGCATCCCCCCCCCCCCCCCCCCCCCCCCCCCCTTGTCTTGTCAGTCATGGTGAACACCAGCCACATTGTGTTGACTTCAGTCCTGAATCCAATGCCATAGCTTAGCACAACAACAATGGCTTTCTAATAGCGGGCAAGCATAAGAAGATCTTACGGGAGTGTCAGACGCTGGCTCAACTGCCCTCTTTTTTTTTTTTTACCCCATCCACTCCCACCCCCCGTCCCCTCTCTATGTTCATCTGTCATCCTGGAGCCTCCTCCAGCAAGGTAATACAACACCAAGGCCAGTACCAGCCACACACACACACACACACACACACACACACACACACACACACAGACACACAGACACACACACACACAGACACACAGACACACACACGCTCGCACTTGTACATGAATGTGTAGTCGTGCTGATCAAAGACATAAACAACGCTGTGACAGGACTGGCCTCCCACCAAACTCCTTCATATCTCAGGGACGATATCCACCACCCCACTCGTGACCTGCCCGCCTCAGACTAGCCAGGCTCCACTTTTCCTTTGGATTGATAAGCAAAACAAGCGCTCACTCATATTCTGTCACTTCGGACCCCCCCACCCCTCCCTGCTCCCCCGTGAGGATTTACAGGCGGGATTTGACGAGTCAGGCTCTGCTTAGTGTGAGGGTAGATCACGTTTGAGTTGTTTTCAAAACCTGTAAAATAAAGTAGAAAGGGTCCAAGTAGCGGGGGGGTGGTGGCGGCACAATTGGTGGTCAGAATATCCATAACATTTGAAGGAAACCAGTGTAATGAGATAAGCTTGCAGCCTTTTCCTTGATCATATCCAACTTTTTGTTGAAACTATATCACTTAAATCTCCAAAGATTTTCCACGTCTTTTTTTTTTTTTTTTTTTTTAACTACAAAAAAAATACAGTTTGTTTATTGTATCCAATTTTTATTTGGGGAACTCCTTCAAAATTGGGTCCTGAGCCAGAGGGTTTGGCGCAGGATCTTAGCCGTTCTCAATCTCTGGACGGAAATGTCGGATGTTGTCCCTGGTATCTGCCACAGCCGTCCCCCTAGCTTGGGGGTTCCTGCCCCCAGTGCATGTTTCATTGTTGTCAGCCACTTTTTCAGTTTGTTGGGTGTACATGCCATGCAGGGGCTTGTCTTTCCATGACAGTCCATCTGGCTCCTTCTCCTTTCTGGGCTTCTCTTCTGTTGTTTCCTCCTGGATAGCGTCTGTGATGATCACTTGTACCCCCACGCCCTTCCTTCCACTTTGAGTACAGCCCCAGGATGCTGGACATGGGGTGGAACCCTTCTTACAATCATTGTAAGGAGATTTCTTATGTCAGCGGGCTTGTCTGATTACTGGCGGGGCGCAGGTATTATTGGCCTGAATCTTATTCTTGCACAATCTTCGGTTGTGATCATCTTCCCTCGTCTAGATACGTCATTCGCACTTCTCCATTCCAAAAGTCGAGAGAAAGCGCCAAATAGTTTTATTCAACCAACACCTCCAACCTCATGACATCTAATTAGCTCCCGGATAAGTCACTAGCCCAGGACTTAAAATATTTTTCCACCCCGCCCTGGGATTATTTACTGTATGTGGTGTGTCGAATAAAAAACATGGAAACATAATTTGGGGAGGGGGTTGTTGGAGTTATTACTCTAGGCGGACTCTTTTGGTTCTTTTCCGATGACTTAGATGAAGGTGAGATCAGATTTTATGAGCAATTTATGTCTAAATCCTGATTATATAAGGGTTCACATTCTTTATCTGTCACCATATGTGTCAAAAAAAGTCAGAATCCATAATTGCTTACCTTTACCCCATACAGTCAATTTTCCATGTTATTATTTTTTAGCATTATATGAGCCTCTGAGGGTTTACTACTGGGCTAAATGAATTTCTTTTATGAGTGGCAAGAGAAAACAAGCGCAGAACACAAAACGCTCTCAAGAGCCAACAGAGTTCATGAGAACTGTTAGAAAGAGATTTCTCTATCCAGTACAAGCTTTTTTAATGCATTTCCTGTGCATAAAAAATAAAAAAATAAAAAAGCGTCTGCTACTCAAAAAAGAAAACCGTGATAGCGAAGCACGGGGATATAAAATCTATGACAAGGGTTCTTAGTTTCCACTCAAAGCTGCCAAACGTGAACTTTTTAATCCACAACGCTTGCCCCGATACTGTATGTAACGTTGCGCCATAGCACACGTATTGTTCCCATGGTTTTTTTTTTTTTTTTTTTTTTAAATGCTCCCCACAGAGCAGTAACCGTAGTGGATGCAATAAAACAATGCGCTCTATAAGAATTCAGTTGTTAAAATGCAAGAGGGGTGTTACAGTATGTGGCTTTTAAGTGGCGTGTTCTGCCAGTGGATTTTTTTTTTTTGCTGTTCCGAACGCCGGGAAAAATTGGCCTGAAATCCCCCAAGTGCTGAGTTTGGTAACGAGCCAGCGCCAGGACAAAGAACAACTGTGCGCCTGCAGCTACACAATGAACTAGGATATAGTGTGGAATTAGGTGGGACAACACTTTGGGAACACACAATTGGAGGTTTTCAAAATAATGCGCTAGGGAAACTGCAAAACTCACGCTGAATTTGAGACAGTCAAAACGAGACATGATTTTTGGTGAAAATATCGAACTTTTTTTTGTTTGAAATAGGACTTTTCGAGAAAAAAAAAAACCCAAACGTTTTTTTCCTGATAAAAATATAAAACTTTTTGATGAATGTCTTTTTTTTCCGAGAAAAAAATCTTTTTGAGAAAAAAAAATCTTTTTTGTTCCATATCTAAAAGTGTACACATTTTTTCATCAAAAAACAACTTCATCTCAATTAAACAATTTGTTCATGAACATATACAACATTTATTCTGAAAAAAATAAAATTTTAATGCCTTTTTAAAAAATCCTGAAATATGTTTCATCAAAAGTACAAAAGTTTTTTCCTTCAAAATATTGTTTTTAATCCACCCCCAAAAATCGAATACTTTTTGGTAAAGGCATGCTTCTATATTTATTCATGTATCCATTCATTCATTGGAAAATTTACGATTACGATTGTTGAACTTACGACTCCATCGGTCCATTATCTCAGCCACTTATCATAATTGAAATTGTTTTGACTTTTAAGTCACGGGTTTGAGATTGTTTTGGTCTAAAATTGAAATGGTCATACATCACATCCAGCATTTTTAGTTCAATGTTGTTTTCTTTTTTTCTTCGTTGTTGTTGTTTTATGACAGCGGCTTTAATTGATAGGCCCGTGCTCTCCCTCTCCCTCCTGGATGAACATAAACAAGTTCTAAAGCAAAACATGTGTTCGTCACTGGGCTCTTCCTACGTATGTGTGAGTGAGCCAGGAAAGCCAGACTGGTTTCATTACCAGCCCCATTATGGTTAAATGTGGGAGGGGAGGGGAAGGGTGGCGGTGAGGTGGGTGGTTGTGAGGGTATCATCCCAAACCCTGAACAGTTGCCATGGCGACAGTGCCTCACACAACCTCTCTGGTCAACTTTCTCCCAGTTTTCTGCTTCTGGTACCTTCTTTGCCATGCACATTTATGTGCACATGCACGAAAAAAAAAAAAAGTGGCCACAAAGCTGTTTTCCCTCCAGTCATAGTGTTTCACAAGGGCCCTCTCGCTGGTTGCCCTGCAGCAAATGGAAAGGAAAAAAAATCTAATTGTTAGACATTTAGAGGCAGATTTTTTTCCAGAAGAGATTGTAATCAAATGGAAATTGTTTGAAAATATATTTTAATACAATTGTCATGTCCTCCCCCCTCCCCCAGGAAATTCGGGTTTCTTCTTCTTCTTATTTTTATTATTATTATTATTACTATTATTTTTCTTATTGATTACATTTTAACCATATTCTTTATGAAAATGTAGTAATATGTAGATTAAATGTAATGTTTAGAAGTTCTAAATTGTAATTGTTTGACTTTGGATTGAAGTCAACTTGTTGATTGTTTGACTTTTAGGGTACATTATAGACACACACACACACACA